CGCAAGCCGTTGTGCTAGAAATAAGGCGAATTTTCCGAACATGTAAAAGGGCGGTGAAGAGCTTATCTGAACTCCCTCAAGAAAACTTTGTTAAGAAGATTTTTGATAAAAAAAATTTGTTAAAAGTATTTTTGATGTACAGGCTTATTGATGCAGCACAACGACCGCTATCGAACTTATTGAACTAAATGAAAAGAGGTCCTTCAATTAGTCTCACTCTCCTTGGGTATACCCGCTTACGGGTGGGGAGATGGAATAAAGGAAGAGTGAAATTTTTCAGGACCCGTGAAAAGCCTTCACTACATTGAAGAGTAGATTGTGGAATGTTAGCCGTCCTCCTACTATGGAAAGAGCTCTTATCGGCCTCGGACTAACACATGTGGAATCTCCGTGATAGCTCTGCTATACCTCGCGATACCAAACACCTCAAGGTGAATAATAAGGCTATTTCGTTGTTAGACACCTCCGGATCTTACGTGACACAGATAAAGACTATTTTTCAAAAACACTTTTTTAACATGCATAAGCGCCGCCGGATGTACTTTCTCCAACGACTTCCCGTTGTTGAGACGAGCTCTTGAGCTAAGCACAAGTGGCGGGCTAGTTTGGAAGCGTAGAAAACTTCAGGGTCGCGACTGGCTCATGGCGACGACGGCGACGACGGCGACGGCAATGTGTCGCCGGCTCCGCCCTCTTGCAGTCTCACACATAGACTACCCGACGGCGGCCGCTCACACACACGTCCACCCCAAGCCAGGCAGCTCTAGCCAGCTATCTACTGCTCCTCCTACAATCAAATCGTCACCCTTTGTGACACACTGGCTTCCCCGTCCACGTCGTGATGGTCTAGGCGACAAGGACGGCGACAACGACGACGAGACATGTCTCCAGTCATATTGTTAGCCTTACTGTTCTGTTTTACCACTACTGCCAGTGGTTTGATTTGTTTCACTTGCGTCCAATCACCCGGTACCACCCAATTGGATAACTTCCGGGTGTCTACACGACTTCCCGCCCCTGTATGTCGTATGGAACCGATACGATGTGATCGGGATCAGGATGTTTGTGTACGGATCAGTATGCATATAGGTAAGAATCACCCAGCCATCACTAGGTCTGATGGAACTCAAATTCAACTTTCAAAATCATTCCAATTTTATCGCCAAAAAACTCTGTTCGACAGCTCATTTGTGTTCTATTCGAAGTATTCGATCTGATGATTTAAAACTTCCCGAGTCCTTTATTCTGCGAAGGATTCAGTATGGGAATCCTTGTCTACCGCTACCCAAAACGTTTTAGTCTTCATGTTCTATTGCGTGATTTCTATTCTGCCAGTTCCCTTTCTCTCTAACAACCCATGCATACTTGCTTTCCCTGTTTCGTCAGCATAACTCCACCTTCGAACGCCCAAATGATGCGCCCACAAAATTCGCAAATTCCCTAATGCTGCCGAAATTGTCTCGTTCATCGAATATTCTGTACTTGTACGCTTGACACACGTGAATAATCTTCCGGAATTGTTCCGGAAAAACTGCTCCCTAGCACAGGTGGAAATCATTCAAATGGAAAGCTGCTGCACATACGCGTATGCTGCATGTATTCCGAAAAATCACTATACCACCGTCTTAGTGGCTTCCCCGATCCAATCAAATCAGCACTTTTAAGTTTAGTCGAAATACGAGGCGCAGTCAGCAGAATTAAGCCATTCACCCTGCAATCCTATCTTATGTAACGTATAATATTTGACTGTCATTATTCAAAAAACCATCATCTCGCGACTATGCACAATCAATCATTTCAACATTTCCAAAAGTGATTGGTATGTGCATGTCGCGACTTCCCCTCTAACCCTTTTCAACACCAATCTAACTAGTTTTCAAACTTTTTTCCAAGTTTGTGCCATTTCAATTGTCTATTCTGCGCGTTTTTCTGTTTCCCAACAAGCTCCCACATCCATGTTTTCTCAATACCCTCCCAGATGTTTCCCAACTCAAAACTTTCCCGTATTTCAAAATAATTTAAAACAGGTACTTAAATGCCAGCTGCTAATTGTCGACGAACATAACAGGCATCATAAATTAGCATTTTTATTAGCATTCACGGGGCTGTGTAGGAGAGGTGATGGTGGTGAGACAGGGGCCAATGGGGGATAGTCTCTCGATAAAAACAACAACTGAGAGCATTCGAAAATTGTGACATAAAACAGCCCAGAGACAATGATGGTAAGGGAGGGGGCCAGTAACACCAGTAATGTTTTTATCACGATGATTATAACAATTTCTTAGCAGTAAGGCACAGCGGTGGTGGTCCTTCTGATCGTCTCTTTGGGCATATAGACGTTCACATACGGACAGTACCGTCGACGATCACCAGTAGAGCCAACATCCACATAATGCTGTGCATATAGAACTGCTCTTTGACGGACCCTTTCATTGTCAACTCCATCGGTTAGCTGGAAATGAGAAAAAGATTATCGGTACGATGGTTAAGACCAGATGGTTCACAGATTCCGAGTCGATCTGAAAATTATGCGCCATAAGGCGGATGGAGGTGGACTGAATGGGGGAATAAAGGAACCCCGCAAAAGCGAATTATTCCCCCCATTGTGCAAATTCGCTAGGACTTTTGTTTCTAAAAATACGACAAAACATCAGATAGCCCTAAGAGCAAATGATTGCTTCAGAATGGCGTCATTAAGGAGTCCAAAACCCTCAATTGAAAGCACAGCAAAGATTTCTGAGCCGACCGAGTCCACTTTCAGCCTCATTTCCTCTATGATAAGCACATTCTTCCCCTCTTTTCTGCTCAACTTTCAATTCAAATTTCCTAATATGAATATTATCTGTTGATATCATTTATTATTGTTTATTTGTTTCATTCACCCNACCCTCAACAAAAATGCTCTCAAAAAACTTGGTGCTAGAATTCTACCACAGAATGACAGCAAACCAAGCGCCTTATGCATGCCTGAGGCAAGATTCGCGAAAAAACGACTCAGAATTGCCAACTACGTGTAAAGCACTTCCGATTGTACTAATAGTACACAAGAAACGAAGGTTGAGTTTCTTACTGAACAGAGGCAACCTGGATAGGCTGAGCAGAAGCGAGCGATCCCAACGGTTTATAAGAATTTGCCCCGGTCAGAGTTTATCTACCTCGTTAGTCATAGTTCCTCAATGCCCTCCATCACCCAAAATATAGTAAGTGAGTAGCTCCCCCACATTTCCTTGACCGCTCGACAGATTCATTCCAACAAATTGATGAGTCTCTCGTGTGTCCCCGAATTTACTAGGCGCTTGATTTGTGGAGTGAAATTTCCAAAACCTTATGGTATCCCCATTTTGGGGATACAGTTGAGCTTGGGGCAGCTGTATGGCGCTGATACTTGTTACGAAGTTAGTTAAGTAAGCCACTACTTCAAATGTAACAGCGGAAAATCATCGTTTCCTTCACATCCATCATAACATCGTCTATTTTCATTTTTATCGTATTGCTTTTTTTATGGCGCTTTTGCCATGTGACGCCTCCCTGCTCCTATCGATCAACCCTTTTTTTAAGATAACCACTGTCTCTGGTGATCGTTAAAATCGGTATTTGTCCTATACAAGGACCTGTGTGGGGCCAGTCAGAGAACATGACAGGACTTTTACCTTTTGAAGGGGTTTAATAGCTTTAGAGAGGGCGGAAAGAGAGATCTACTTCAAGGTCCCAGTTTCACATAGTGTGCGTATGTGTGTGACACCTTCGCCAAATGCCTTTACTCCAACTCTTTCTTCACTTTACTCTATATTTATACTTGTAAGCAGTGAGATATAGTAGTACTAACAGAATTTTCTCGTTGGCTCCTCGTACAGGACTTTTTCAAAAAGCTCAGTTTGCACTCTCAAAGTTAACTCCGCGAGTCTAACAACGTTAACCCATTAGGTCCTCTCCAAAAACTTATCGAATTACTTCAAGAAGCTCCTTAGAGCATCTCGAAATGTATGCACTTGTCGAAACACCACCTCTTCTCTTTCTAATTCGACTCAGAGACAACTCGCAAGACTCACAAGAAATTCTTACTTCACCAGTTTCTCTCCTGATTCATGAAATGACTTCACTCGAGAGGTTGAAGACCATAATGATGTGCCCCGCAGATTGCATCGGGCGCTTAATAATTCAGCGTGGAATCAACGCGATTAGACCCGAAAATCTGGGAAGAAGGGTCTGGGCAAAGAATGTCCCAACACCGATGTACGTCGCCATAGGGCCATTGGTTCTTCTACCCGAGAGATTTTGAATCGAGCCCGAATTTGACGGACTTGAGTTCTCTCGCTCTCACCCCCTTAGATAAACAAGTTTCCGAACGCCGACAACAATTCCGAAATGGGACATCCAGATGACGTGAACTATCACACCATGACTGGGAATATGCCGCTATGGGCGAACAATATACTCAGAAATACCCAGTAGTAAACAGAGTCTATGGAGCAGCGATTATTGAATAAAATAGCAGTCAAGCTCTGGCCTACCACTATCCTTAGGTACTTGAACGAGCTATGAACCAGCTCGAGGCCGTCTTGAATATACACAAGAAGAAATTGGGACTGGACTGGGAGTATCGGAGACTGAGAAATATGGGTCCGACCATAAACTTCTAACACTAGGCCAGTTCATATCTACTCTTCTGCTTCACATTATGACCGTTTTTAACTCTTCATTTTTGCAACTGAACTATTGGACTGACCTCCATTGTCTTATTCGTCACATTTTCGACCAAAAAGGAGGGCATGTTTCCCAATTAAGAATGTCTCAGAAAGATTCGTAAACGTTTTGAATAATCAATGACTAAGCAAATGGGAGAGGGGCAGAACCTATTACATAAAAGCACAACCAACGTGCAGCTCCCTGTGTCATATGCATTCTACTAGCCATCGTAAATTCAGAATTTCTAATCCACTTTCATTTGCAAACAGACGATATCGACGCTCTACATTACGTCGAAAGGGCAAATAAAGCAAAGCTGAGGAATCGTTCAGCTACCGAGGAAATTCAAAAGCTTAAATGCTTTCTCGACTTTTGGCAGAACCAAGCAACTTGGTCACCTGTACCATACTGCGAACGTCCAGCGACCAACAATTCGTTTTCTTAAGTCCATTTCTCAAGCTATACTGCAATCGAAAACTATTGAAAACCGCTTCTAAAGCATTGTAATCTCGAAACCTTTCGAAACCTTGCTTGATACGACAATCCAAATTGAGAAGAACATGTATGGGGGTAGAAAAGAGAAATCAGCATGAAACGATTTTTTATCATCTATTTTTCAGAGCTAACTTATTGAATTCCACTGCTAGTCAAAATCATCAACAGAAAAATGGTCCGAAAAAAAGTCATAAGATAAAGAGCGATCGTGCAATCAGTTAACAGAAGAAAAAATTATTAGCTGATAGCATTCCATTCACCGAAATCAGTGCAACCGCTCTTTTGAGACCCAGCCAGTTTACCAGCTTGATATGTCCGCCTTTTGAAGTACGACCACGTTAACGATAGGATTAAGTTCCAATCAAATACAAACTTTTCTCGTCAAATATGGATTTTGAGGAACTGTTCGGTTGGAAACCATTATCGGGGAGCCACTGTTAAGAGGTGGGTATCAGGTTCATCGCTCTCATTCCATCACAACCATTTCTTCTCATGGAGGATGGTTCTTCAACATCCTATTTTCTAACAGAAAAGTCCTCATTTGAGACTATGACTACGGCAAATTTCCTTTCACTATATTCCATAAAAAAACTGTCTTCCGAAGACAGTAAACGACTTAACGTAGGTGTCACGGTTCCAAAAACATTCTGACTGTAGTCACTACTACTCTAATGACGATCTCATTACAGGCGGAGGCGAGTACTGGATGGGAGCCGGATGCGATCGACGAATTAATTTCCAACATCTCGCTTGTCAAAACGTCCGCACCGTGTCACGAAGTGTACAATTAGGTTCATATATTCTTCACATTGCTTAATTAGTCACATGCAATTCAAATCTTTTTTCTTTTTAAATGCATTACTGCCCATCGTGATTACTTAAAGCCATTAACCGAACCGTACCCTAAATCATACGAATGGAATTGTTTATGCCCTTATTCGAATTTGTTATCGATAATACGGCATGAGAATAGCGTAGTGCAGGGCATCGCACATTTTGGGAATTTTTAAGATGGACAACGATGAATGAGCGTCGAAATGAGGGGGAAAGGGTAAGAGATCTGCTACATGAGACCCAAAGCGAAAACAGTGAAGAAGGAATAAGAAGTGGGTGCGTTAACCCAGAGGCGAACCGAACCACAGCGATTCAACAACTCCCATTCTAACACTATGCGCAATGAACCTGCCAAACCGATCCAATTCTGAGGAAGTCCGAAAGAAGGCGAGGTGCAGCTATATAAATTTTGCTTGGTATCGAAATCATTTGCAAAGTGACCTCTCCCATCCAAGATGATATCCTACTAGTCCGAGAGAACGGAGCTAAGGGTTGACGAGGCCCATGAATCCCCTGTTTGTCCATATCACGACTGAATTTGTCGCTCATCATACTAATTATCCAAGAGCTGGATGAATAGGTAACTAGTTCGACTAAACAGTAATAAGCTGAGTTGAAAGTGATTAAACCGTTGAACAAGCCGAGTCACTCAGGCAAAGTTCATTTCTGAACAAAAATTACAACACAAACTGCTTCAATTCCATGATATTAAGCAGATCTCAATTGAATCAAGCAGCAGAAATACAGAGAGCTATTTTTCTTCCTCAAAGAACTTAACTTGAACTTCCTAATCAGTTCTTTTATGTGTAAAAATTGAATTTGCTCATCCTAGCAAAGCATAGGTCATGAAGTGTTCACTACAGTACCGCCGAAAAGCTGGAATTTCTTCTCGGTTTATACAGTACCTGCGGGAATTTCCAGGAAGCCAGTTTTCTTTTCCCAGCCTTTATCTAAGCTTGGGGTCCGTGACATCTTGTAATATTTAGGATGCGCATAGAAAAAGAAAGCAGTGTTGAGAACGGCCTAACTGTTTCAATTTCAAAGCCGTTGTGTACCCCGAAAAAACTCATTTGCAGCAGTCTACCACCCCATAACTCCACCAATGGTCCCGATCTCCTCTGTTTCACAGCTTGAATTTCAGGGTACGTCCAGGAGCGCCACGCAATGCAACGTGTATGCGTATGTACACGCGATATGTGCAACCTAGCCCATGGCGGCTACAATTTCATCCTTTCACTAACCTTAGTTGGCCTATATTTGCTACTACGGTAACGTAAACTACTGTAAGTGCAAATTCAAGTCTTAATCCATACAGGATTTCCACCCTGATGAATATGCTCATTTCAGGCTCATAACCTCAGTGAACTTCCGTTATTCCCGGTCAAATATCGTAATCTCGGGGTGAGTTACTTCATAAAAAAACTTTGTACTTTTACGAAATGGCTAGTAGCCCACCTAGTTGAATCTGCTGTGCGAGTAGATTTGTTGCCGCATCTCCTGCTCTTCCTCGGCAAAGATACGCGCTGTGTGGCCCAAGGTGACTCGTTTGATGTCGGCTCGCTCCACTTCTTCGCGTTCTCGTTCCTTCTTCCAGGCCTCATGTAAAGCTGATTCTTCTATTGAGACCGTTTTCAAAACCAGCTGAAAGTAACAGTAATCTCATTTTCGGGAGTTCGGGCACGGCTTACAGGTGGACAGAGGAGATTCAAAACAGGAAGAAAAGAAAAGTCACCTTGTTGCCTTTGCCTCTTGCCATTAACGAGACCTTCATAGAGGGTTTAGCATTCTCGTTTTTCGACCCTCCTGGGGAGTCTTCTGAAAAGGTAAAGGGATAAGAAGGAAAATATATTAACAAGATCCCTCAAGTAGGCCTAGGATTCCCATTCGAAATCCACTCTAATACGGCTTTCGATGGATATTTCATCGTTCTAAACATGAAGAAATGAAGAACTAGGAAACTATCGCAAACTAGTTTGCCCAAGCAGTAGTTGCCTCTGAAAGGAAAGTCGGAATATTGCCCGAAATGAACCACAGAAACATCCAAAAATGCCCAAAACGATCCGTCACGTACATCATTTTTCGAGACCGAAAAGGACCTACGACAAACATGGATTGAACTGTTTAAAGGTCCGAAGTCTTTCTAAAATTTCATCTCTGCTCGACTGCCTACCAAAAATACTTATATAATTTAACAAGTTGAGTAAAACCGTCCCAAATCCCTCGAAAGTCATTAAGGAGGGTTTTTACAGAGGTAAACACTACCGAGCAGATCTTCTGTCTCCCAGAAGAGCTCACTCACATGGGTGCCAATCAACAGCCTTATCTTCAATGACCAACATTTGCGCTTGTTCCTTCGAATCCGACATGGAGGCGTCAAAAAAGTGGGATAGAATTACTTAGCCCTCCCGGGAGATTCCCACGGCCAGCTTCACAAAAACTAATGTCCACAAGTGTCACCTTCTTTGCACTTTCCGTCCTTTTTTGCCTAGCGCCTGCCGTTGACAAAATTCGGCCTACTCTGTTCAGCAACCTTGGGAGTGCAATGGACAAGTGCTCCATAATTTAGAAAGGAAGAACTCACGCCGACACAACGGCTTCCTTCCGATGTCAGCCCGCCAAACTCGATAAGCACGTCTTTGGCATTCTTGCACTACTGGCAAGGTCTATTGTGATATATATGGGTGTTTTATGTTTGAGCACGGATTTCTAGCTTCTACGGTTACATAGTGAGCTTCCTTCCGCCTCTTAAAAAGTCAGAGTCATACGATACAGGCAGAAATTCATCAATTTCTTCTCTTAGTCACGGGATAGAACTTATTTAACAACTAGACCTATTCTTAAGACCCCCACGCGTGCAGAGATTGAATAAAGTGTAGCTGTTTTTAGCTAAGACCGGATGACTTTCCTGGAACTCCTTCTGCGGCTTCTAGAAAGATCTAAAGACTAGAACACCCCGCTATGAGCCCTGTCCGCCTGGTGCAGACCTTTGCAGGTCCCATGAGGGGACCTGCAAGTCATCATGAAACTAAACCGCAATCGATTACACCTGCGATTTGGTCTGTCATTTGAGTCACTCATATCCTCATCAACCGACATGTTCTCAGCAGCGTAACACATGTTTCGCGAGCCACTGCGATAGAAGATGACCCACTGACAAATGTCAGCAAAACGTAAAAATACTTCAGAGGGACTATGACAGCTATGACGTTAATGTCGACCTTTGTTTTCTGGAAAATCAACAAAATACGATATGCAAATAGAACTAATAACGTCCAGAGAACTGCTCACTAGCGAATCCGAGGGTACCAGAACCCATATAAAGGCGTAGATGAAATTTCGAACTACTCCTGAACTTAACTGCCTTCCGTTACATCCAATCAAGTCCGAGTAACAGAGGGCAAAGCATTTTTGGCACTGCTTGGTAATAGTTCATTGAATTGTTGATAAATACAGGATTTCGGAAATTCGTACTCTTTCGAGCTGCTTTCCGAGTTCTCTGTGGCTTTGACACTTCCCGAACTCCTAACATTCGCAAGACAGGGAAAGAAACCTGGTCTCTTCCACTTTCCGCAAACTACGTGGGTTTCTCGTGGGCAAAAGGCCCTTCTTGGAGTAACATCCAATGACACTCAGACTACAAAATTCCAAAGTCAGACCATTGAACCAATGGTATTTCCAGTGAAAAGAATTTGATTTCAAAAGGCAAAAATGGGGACACAGTAATGCTTTTGCCATCTACCGGACTAATGGAAAAACATTTACATGATTTGTTTTCGATCAACACAAATTGTTCAAATGGAAAACAGCAGAAAATGTAAATTGCTGGGAAGACCAAGGCTTGTTCCATTCAGAAAATGAAATGAAAACGAGATCCCAGTGTTCTCTAGGGGAGGCTACCCTCCCATTAGGTCGCGCCATGCACCTGATATCTTTCCCACTTCCTTGAAAATTGGAAAATGGAAAGCGGTATGACGAGATCCAACAACTCAACATTTAATCTTAGCTTTTGAAGAATTTTATCTCACCAATGTAGCTCTCATGATCTAAGTGGAAAAACGAGTTGGATCAATATTCACCCAACACTACACGAGGGTACCTCCTCGTTTTAGGCTTTTCAAAGTCAAGTCTCCTTCCAGTAACTCTCTTGTCGGTGCATCGAAATTCCTGCCGCGCCGACGCCGCCGCACAAATGTTTCGACGCCAAATCGAATCACACTACCTTATCAATAGGCAGCTGCTGCTCATCATCAAAACGAAACTCGCCAAAGCGGCATCGCACGCGGCGATCTTGCGCCTAATATAATCTATGCGTCAAGTTGCGGATTTCGACGGCAACCGCTCTCGCCCTCCCCGAGTAGCACAAAATGCGCTCTGTGTGTGTGTCTAAGCAGCAGACTCACCAAAACAGATTTGTCGTTGGAATCGATTTCGAACTGCTGCCGGCACCGTCATGTCCACTGAGGGATTCGCTGCTGCTGCCACGGATGTCTGTTGAGGTACTACCTGGAACAGGCTTCTTCGGATTGGTCTCGATTCTGTGTTCTGATGTCATTTCGACGTCCACGCATGTCTCCATCACGGATCGCAATAATGGACTTTTACAGGAAATTGAACAAATAGAAAAACTAAACTCGTCCGCTGTATCCATTACAGGAAATGCCCATCACACTTTCACTGACATCGACTGCACTTTGAGCGTAATTTATGTCGAACACAACAATCAAAAACATGACCAGACGCCTTATGAGAATACGTGGACGTCAAAAAATGCTCAAAGGGGACATTCGTGTTTTCCTGACTCTTTTCAACCATTTCTGTTACCTAGGACATGAACTTTACTTAACCCATGCCCCCTTGATCGCCTAAAGTTCATGATCTCATCGCCTCGTCAAGATTCTACATGGGTAGTGTTGGGAAAAATGTAACAGCGCCAGGTTAGCACAAAATTACCTATCCTCCAGCTGGGGTTAGCACATCATGTGGTTTGAAAACACTGGAAAATTATGAGTGGCGTCTACTCTCAGCCACCTTCAGCCTCATTTTGTCTAATCTATCTCATCTGGTTTACCTACCCGCGTACTACTCACACACCCAAAAAAACATATTCCACTCAAATCCCATCTAAACAAACTGGGCGTTAGGTAGGCCAGGGCCAACCTGCCCGTCCCGTCGTTACCAAGTCAATCTCTATGCCTTTCATTCATCCGTGAACAAATTCGCAAGTGCAACAGCAGCAAAAGCGGCAGCGTTGCCCAATTCATCACATAATTTTGAAAAAAAAAAACTCCCAGTACTCTGAGCTCCCAGTCGACCCCATGTTGGCGTGCTTTGAAAAAATGACACAGACTGTAGAAGACGATTTCCTTGTCATAACCCATACCTTAATTTGGTCGGCCAGCATCCTATCCAACTGACGCATGAACTCCTCGTCTTCCGGTTGAATCGCTGGCTTCTCTACATGTACGCATACTTTCTCGTCCGCATCGTCTTCAGCGATTATCGCTGGCGGTCGCTCGCTGTCGCTACCATATTCCTCACTAAAATTCAGGAACCTTATCTTAATTTGTCCACATTTCACTGGACTTCTTTCCCTTGATAAAGTTTCTTTCTCCTCACAACAGAATGAATCCTTGATCCAAAAACTAGAAAAATATACTCCACCCAGAATCTTCTTCTCAATTCGATCGTTTATCTAGCAAATCTGGTTCTCTACAAGAGGAGCTCCTCTTCTATTGGGCCTAGGAGCCTTCCTGAGATTAGATCCCCAATAGAAAGAAGACATTGTGATTCAGAAAGCAGTTTGATAGGGATTTTAGCGCTGTCTTGTGAATAATGGCTTATTTTCAGGTTCACCAATCTCTCGATCTCCAAAGTGCCATATCGTTCCCGTGCTCAACCTGTGATCCGCGCCACATCTGTGATACCTGTTCTTTCCAGATAGTATGCAATTTATAAGCGTAAAGAAATAAAATTATTATGCATCTAAAAGTTTAGCTTCGGTTAGAGTACCTTCGTTTCAGTACATGACCCTGAACGTCACAAAAACCCGTGGGTGGATGAAAATCCGAAACTTGGCCAAAATGTATCTATCCGAGAGTCTGCCAAATTTCCCGTAATAAGAAACGCTCGCCGCTGGGAGCGTTCCAATGCAAACAAATTTGAATTCGACCCCTTCCCTGCACCTTATTGAGTTTCAATTGACAAGCTGAGGAGTGTGAGAGACAGGGTGAGGATGAGAGAGAATCCATTACAAAGTAGACACGGCCTTCTGCCTCTGGCTTTCGCCAGGGAACCGGAACTCAAACTTGCTTCCATTCCTTGAATTCAAACAGGAATGGTTTCCTAACAATATTTCTTGAACAAAAATCCGACCCACATAAATATTTAGGGTCTCTTAAGGCCACAAATCCTTCCGTTAAAGAGAGTTAGTTTGTATATTATATCTACCGTCAAAGGTCAAAAATTATGTACATAATGTCAGAGATGCATCAAAAATAGACACCGAGAAATTGAGAGACTCGAAATAAGTTCACAGAAATCTCAAGGTAACGTAATAATTCAATGCTGAGTACCTTCGTTAAGAAATTTTCGAGATTTATATCGCATTTTTTGCAAACTAATTATAATGTTTTCATGAACCAAATATAGACGTGCGTAATAAGTAGAGGACTATTCCCTACTATCAACCTATGTATTACACGAACCAAAGACAAGCCCCTGACATCATTATCCAGTCACGGTGTGGAAAGATTGCTTTGTTTGCTTCCCCTCCTCCCTCTCTCCTCAATAATGTCAAAATGTCCCGAGCAACGAGGTCCACTGACTCTGTCTGCTCCCTGTAAAAGTTCCAGGTAATTCGAATAAGAGAAGCGTGAGATAAGCCTCGGAAGTCGGCTGCTCATCTAGTGTGTTTATGGCTCGACTATTTAGCCCTAAAATGAACGGTTCCACGGCCTTCAAGAGCTATCGTGACCGTATCGAAGGCAGGGATCGAGACTCGAACCGGATCCTTCCCAGCTAGACAGATACATTGCACGGATGAACCTAGGTTCAGGACGGTTACACCCAGACATGCCTATTAACTTGCAACCATAACTAGTTCCCCAAACTTTTCAACGAATAGCAAGCCAGGAAATACTGAACTTTTTCTTTACAATTCGCACAATTTTAGGGCAACAATAAGTCAGTCGTGTGAAGCCTATGATTGAGTTATGCACATCATTTGAGACCCGCGGTTCCCGCGAGAATCGCATCCCTTCTCCGCACACAAGAATTTCATCGCCGTATATGGAAGAAGCATTTACTGCACGACATTACGTCCCATCAAGTTCCAGATCCTTTCTCAAAAAGAGGATTGGGTCGCAAAATCAAAAAAAGCTCACAATAAGCATTCAATCCATGACTAATTTTCATCAAGCTTCAACGGGCTGCCTCATCAAACCCTTAAAGAACGGATAGTTTCAAGATTCAGTTGGCCCAAGCATGATCAGATATGATGTTTGATGTCTTGACTGAATAGGCCGCGCCACCTACACAGCCGTTCTCTGTCTAGACAGCTCAGTGAAGGAACAAAAATTGAATAAAACAGAAGGGAGCAGCTTCGACTTGAATTAAGCAAGCAGGCGAAATTGGGGCGAACGCATACAGTTCACAAGAATACCCGACAAGTCAAAAAGGAAGCATTACAGTAAGAAGCTGAGCATAAGCAATCCCTTGAGAATGTGTGGTGAAGTGAACATTTTGGCAGAGTTGATCGTCTTGAATGCTACAAAGAAGTTTCAAAATTTAGAAAAAAAAAGACATTTTTCAGAAGTGAGTGGAAGATGAAAATGGAAAATAAGAAAAACGATAAATACTTCTTATGAGATTTCGTGCTTTGGCAGCATTTTCAGGTTTTATTTGATTTTTTCTCAGGTTTACTTAATTTTTACAGCTGGGACCCTATCCACAGGAAAAATTTTAATTTTTGTTCCTGCCAGCAGGATTCACTACTCAATGGGCCTAATCCTTCAGCCTAATCAGAATGATGCCATAGTGGCACTACACCTTGGTGCAACATTTGAAGGCTTTGTCTCTAGCCCTTCCATATTATAATCGTAGACATTCAAACGCCCACCCATCTTCTTCAGCGATTTGATGGAGGGTTCGGTCAGGTGCCTTCCTTTCGTCTTCCTCTTCCTCTTCTTCGTCAGCACTTCCGCTTGCAAGCGCCAACTGAAAACAGGCAGTAAGTGCAGGAAATGCGAACCTCAAACAAGTGTTGTAGGCGTTCGCAGAAATTGGGCATTACAACTACGGTGACATTAATCAAAAGGGGACCATCTCTGATTGAACGACTGGGGAAAATGGGGAACGGTGACTTTATTGCAGAGATGATGAGGCAAACTGTGGCGCGCAAAGCATAGCGAGGCAAGAGTGAAGCCAAATTCCAACATGAAATTCCACTGCGGCACTGTCTTTACAATCTCACAACTGAAGGTGTATCAAGGTGCAAATCCCAATCGCAATGGGCCTCGGGTCGAGTGCGGCAAAGCCACATTATTTTGGCGATAGAATGGCAACACACCCGTCCAAACCACGTTTCACGCTAGGGGTTTCAGGCTAAGAGTCCCTGTGAGCCAAGCTAAAAAATGGACCAAGTAACACGGGCGAAATTGATCTAGAACCGCTCTACCTTCTCCTTCAGTTGCTGCTCAACCTGCTCCACTGCGCGTTCCGCTTCTGCCAAATCTTTCGGGAGAGATGCACTTTTACGCATATGTCGCATACATTCACGATATTCCGCTTCGACATCTGCGGGGAATCTGAAGGTTGGATCAGACGTGGAAGTTCGAAAAACTGATAGTATCCAAGTGGACTAACCTTGGTGGCTCAATTACTGCTCCGTCTCCTGACTCTTCCGCACCCGGTACTTCCACCATTGCCACGTTCACCTTCCACTGCTCACGTTTCATCCAATAGAAACGATGGAAATATGTAAGGAAGTAGTCCATTTTTCGACGAGCACGTCCAGTTTGGAAGAAATCTGCCACTGTATTCAATAGTTCACACACCATTCTAACCCGGTAGAACTCTTGCCAAGACAAGGGATCCGTCTCCGGGAAGGAAATAATCTGGTACAGGACCTGAAACCAGGAACGGTTCAAAAATAGTTAATGTAAACCTAATAATCCAAGACTGGTCGGGATGAAAGCGCAGCAACTTCGAAAGTAGTAAAGACATACTAGCAGGTAAGCGTAGATCTTGCAGAAGTGGTGCCACAATTTGGTGCATTATTGTGATGACCGTTGGACCAGGGCAGTCACCAAATTCATACCCCGGGACGTAATACAAACACCCGGACGGCCATCAGCGCCGTAGTCAAATTCTTTTAGAAAGCAGTAGCAGAAAGAGTGTAATTATTCCTAACAGTCCCCTTGCTGTAATTGCACGCATGAAAATTCAAAGAGTTGCGCCTTATCACTCCCTTTGGATGATAAGAAGAAGGAGAATCAGGTATACAAGTGTGTAAGCTTTGAGAGAAACAGCTGAACTGGGAAAGTAAAAAGCTACAGGATAATGTAGTTTCTAGATGGAACGTTAGATTTCGTCGGGATTAAGTATGGATTGACTCAAAGATCACCAAATAGCTGGGTAATTGCTTTTTAGACTAACTTTGTATATTACTGGAGTGTCACAGACGCTGTAATTGTACAACTCTCCAAGGTAGCATGCTGACGCTATGGCTCGCTGATTGAACAGACCCGGAACTTCCAACGATATCCTGAAACCCAACAAAGTCACTTCAAATAAGGAAGTATTTGGGATAGGACACCTACAGCTTGCCTACTTCGTTTGGTTAAGCACTATAGCTAGAATTAAAAGAGTTGAAGTTTCAGGGGTCTAGCAAACGCTGAAGGAGCCTAGCTAATTTTTGAGTTTTTTATTTATTTTTATGTCTCAAAGGTCTTAAACAGTCTGAATCAGCCAATTACCTGATCATCTCTTGACAAGCATCTATAACATATGTGGAGATCCAGTCATAGTACGTCAGACCTTGGAGCCCAGCGACAGCGCTCGCGAGATGTAGGAGATTCGAATATGGTAACAACCACGGTGAAGTGAGATACTTTAGGCACCAACCTGTAATCTACACCACTAGATCCTTAGTGAACATACGTTTGCTCTCTAAAATAAACTCCCTAAAGAAAGCTCTTTAAGTACATGAACTATTAGCTTAAACAACCAGGCAATGCAGGTTAGCCAGCGGAAAGAAAAATTCAAGAAAATAACGAGTAACCATGCCGAACTGGGTCACCTTTTGGCATGTAAAAGTCTACAAAGTGGTCACGGTGACGACATCAGTGCAAATCCTTACCCGCAATAGTTTCATCATCCCATGCCAATCTTCTTATGCATTTGATATTCGTATTCACATTATGTTCATTAATATCAACGATAAGATGGCGGATGAAAATCATCAGTGGCGGTTCGGCTTGCGCTCGCCTCGCAGCTGCCGAATCAGCTGGTGGAATACACGCGAAGAAAGCGTTATCAATCAACATCTAGAAAAACGATTACAAAGGAAAGGTTACAGAATCCGATTCCGGCTGAATAGTTTTGAACACATGGTAAATACTGTTCAAGTCAGTAGTATAGTAGCAGATTCGAGGAGAAGGTTGGTAAGGTTTACACAGTTCCGGCTCAATTTCTCAAATATAGTGAATTTCATCGATTGCCACGAGGATGTCGTAGAACAGCTGAGAAGAATAGTATGAAGGTAATACTTTCCAGAGCATTCCGCAGCCGTGAGAAAACTTGAGAAAAAAAGAAGAACGAAACATTGTGTGGAAAGAAAATCGCAACTTAATCTAGAGCATTCTTTAAAAAATCAGGGAAATAGATGAAAAACGCCCGTTCTAATTAGGGTAGCCATTATTCAAAGGAATGTTGAAAGAAAAGAAAAAGTAACATGTCACTACTCACAACATGACGAACATCCTTAATCCGCTCCTTCTTCTTTTGCACGACATCAAGAATGATTTTCATTTTTGGATGACTATCGCTATTTCTGAAAATGTACAGTGATGAACGATATATAGTTAACTTTTTTCGTGATAGCCTATCTCAAAACTTTGAAGACTGCGAATGTGTAATTACGGCAGAGGCGGAAAATACCAAATAACCCTACCGGTAGAGGTAGAACCCAGCGGTTTCAATCATTGCACAGACCATATCCACGGAATGACCACGAAAATCGTATACTAATTGTCGTAGACATGATAACGCCTCGGCACGTGGAATCACACCGAATTTCACCTGTAATCCTTAAGGTGAACCTTCGGACCAGCACCCAGCAAACTAGTCGCTTTTCAACAAAAAGCCAGTCAGAGGATAGTGTTGAGGACTCACCAGTTCACCTATAAACATCACACACTTAATTTTTTCTTCGACCCTCTCCTGACCACTTCTCTGCACAAATTCCCTGTAATCAAGCGGAATGAGATGAAATACCACACCAAGTAGCTCTGCAAGCAGAAGTAAAGCAAAATAGAAACAAATTGAAAAGAAATTCAACTAAACATTTCAGTGAGAACTGTTCCTATACCGGGTCACATAAAAGTTTAAGAATTAGCGTGCGTTTACCAAATAATTCAATTTTATAATAGTAAAACAGCGAATTTTAAGCCCTTCGGTGAATTGAAAGTTGCTCCCGACTATACTCGGAGTCAACTAAGGTGACACTATTTTCATTCTATCGCAACGTTTTCTATGAATATGCAGCCATCAGCGAAAGTTCGATAAGAATGTAGAAAAGCTCAAAAAAAATGTAAATGTTACAGAAAAGTCGGCAAAATGACCTAGGACATTAGACCGACCTGAATTGCTTTATAAGCATTGTAGACAGTTCGGTAGTCAGATCAGGCATTACCGGAGAAAGTGAAGCAACAAGGCGAGCATAAAATGGTAACAAATCCAAACGTGAAGAAGGCACTCCATATAGCACTTTAACAAGCTTTTTTCGATAACTCTGGAACAGCAAATAAGCAATCGGATAGTCGTAAAAGAAAGCGTGAACGTTTTTTATAGCTACCCACTTTTGTATTCAAATTTGAAACGAAATCAAGAGCACATTGGTCCGTAGTGTCACGGTTGACGAGATGATCGAGATTTAAAAAGAATTTCTGTAAAAAGTTATTCGGTTTGCGAAAATCTGGCTGGGTTACAAAAACCTCACACATAATAGAAATTTAAACCATTGGCAATAAAACGCTCTCTTGTCATGAATTCAGCGAACATGCTTCAATCAAAACTTAACATTCAACGATCATTTCGACGATAAATCTTACCATACTATGCCTTCCCTTCTCTTTTCCTTTAAAAACGAGTGGTGGAGAGTAAGAGAAGAAAGTTCAAGATCAAATTACAGTTTACGATATCAACTAGGGACAACCATTTCTTTCCGAAGCATTCAAATATGTAATAATGACTTTCCAAGAGAAGAATATCTTCACTCCGATGATTACAGTTTGAAAAAGGAATTAGGGTAACGTCGATTTTTAGTTCTGCTATGGTCACCTGAGCGAGCTGTTTCATTTCCTCAGACGTGATGAGCGATGCTTCACCAGCACCTGTCGTGTCTTCTTGGAACTGAGCAGGAGATGGAGGAGTCTTAGGTCGATAAGGTTCATCAGCACTTTCCTCCCTCTCTCTGAATACGTACGTACAAATATTTTCGATAGACATAGTTTAAGAAAACAGAACTGATGTAGAGAAAAATTCAACCATGGCTCTTTCTCAAATTTTATCTCACAATGAGCCTCAATGATAAAACTCTCTTTTCGAGACATTTTCCTACCAAGTTTTCTAGAACTACGACTTATGAGTAGACAACTTACCCCAAATCAGTATCCCCTTCACGTTCTGCAGGTTCAACCTCCAATCCGTCGACATCTATATCATCCACAGATGTCTTCAGCTCGTTCTCTTGTATGGTGCGCTCTTCTGATTCCTGAGAGAAGAGACGTACAATACTGTACAGACTGTCATCAGTATCCGGAAACGCTTACTTTGTACAAACTCCTTGGCACAATATTTCTGATATCAATCACGTTTTCATAAAATAATCGCGATTCGTCATCTGGCCACAAAGAAACTTGTCCTTCCGCGAGTGCTTTATCCATCTGATCGGGAAGTGAATGTTGATAATGTGCTAGAAACGTAGCCTAGAACATCAACCTCCATCGCTGCCATCTCGTCTTCCTCGTTATCACTCGGTTCTTCCTTAAGTTCAACCATCGGCACGCCAAGAGCACTGCTTAGCTCCGCTGCTAAGGCCTTCAAGCGCTCGTACTCAGCCCGTGCCGTTTCCAACTCTGTTTTTTCTTCCATAGTTGCATCGCCTGAATCAATTTTGATCAAGAGGTATAAACAAAGAAAGAATGTCAAACCACCTCTTAAGAGAAAATCAATAGAGTAACAAATAGCAAGCAAAATCATGAACGAGAAATTGGTAGCTAACTCCATATGGGAAAAACGTCACTGATTATAGCAAAGAAAAATAGCTAAAACTCGGTGGACTAGAAATGAGCAAAATGGTAAGAATTTGAAAGAAACATGCGAGTAGAGCAGAAAAAAAATCACAAAGAGCACTACTATTAATATACCATTTACACCTTTTCCCAATGATTTGAGCTAAACTCTATGGTTGCAATGCGAAAAACTGTCGAATCTCTTCATGGGAACATAACGAATCTTGGAAATTATGAAAACGCTCGCAAAGTCGTACCTCTTGTTCTTTCATGACGTTTCACCTTCTTTTGCACCACATTCATGACAGCACAAGCTTTTTCCAGATGGCGGATCAATCCAGTGTGGTAATTTGAGAACAAATCATTAACTACCTTCCGATGCTCGGGAGTAATCGCTTCATTCACTTTCAGATCACCTGCAAATATTATTCACACAAATCAAGGGTGAGAAATAAACAACAAATAGCGCGTACCTTCCTCTACTGAAACCCCATCAGACCCTTCAGGCGACGGAACGATACCAGCAATCTGCCATCCAACGGGACGGCAAAGGGAACATATCAGTCCGACCTGCGTCACAAAGCCTTTTCCGAAGTAACGCCAAATTTCACTAGATCGGTCCAAAAATACAAAATCAACAAGCAAAGAATCATACCGTGACATTCAGAAAAGAAAGCCCCATATATTGAAAACTTCACAAGTTTAAGTGAGTTTTGTATAGAATTGTAATTAATGTAGGACCTATGTATATTGACATATCAATAGACGGAAATGATACTACAAATAATTTCTAGCAGGGTTCACGATCCTGGAGACGTCGCATGCACACAAAATATTAATGACCTACATTTGAATGTTCTCCCTTGTCCGTGATACAAATATAGGAAAGAGTAGCTCCTAACGTCTGAAGGCCTTCTTTGCCGACAACTCCGCAAAGGATCAACTCACAGAGTAACCTGAAAAAAAACTGAAAAGATCATAGAATAGATTAAAAAAGACGGAAAATCTGATGAAAGAGAAGTTCCCGAAAGCACTAGTAATGTGTGAAAACATTTATCTTGAAGCAAAGCAAAACTCGAATGTGTAAGTATTAGGAGTGAACAACTTTACCTTACGTCAATACGCAATTTGGCAGGGTTTGAAATTTTATCCGCACGCTTCAGAGGCAAGCCTTTTCTGATTTCGGCAAGGATTAACTCGGAGAATTTGGGATACCGAGACGCAATGGCCACACAAAGATCCACAATCGGAATCACATCCGATGGCTTGAGCTTTGTCTCAGCGATTCCCTTCAAGATAGTCGATAAATGAAAAAAAATTAAGAGTAAGAAATTAAATCTAACCGCTGCCATTTCTTCAACAAATTTCGAGAGATTTAGTCGGGAAAGCTCATCGATCAGGGAAGGAATACTGGCAGCTGATAGCGTCTTCAGCTTTTTCATGAAAGCTGTTGTTTTTTTAAGCGTTGAATCAAGTGAATGCAGAGCATTTTCATCCGTGGTTTCTACACTAACCAGAGTGGACCGATGCGACTCCTATAATCATGAAAGTGAAGTTAAGAGAAGATCACCAAGCAAAAGGTGACTATTGTGAGAACATCCAACAGCATTAGCTTCCATTCTCCTTCAAAAAAGCGTGGAAAAATATGGAAAAATACTGAGACGCAGAAAATAGCATAATGTATGAGATCTTCAAGAGAGGTGAAGAAAGATGAGGTAGCCTAAATAAGAGATTCCAACGAGACTTTAGATGAAACTTTCTTCACCATTCTTGAGGACCAAAAAACGAAGTCCTTTTCCAGTACCCAATACCTTCTTCTAACGGAGTTTTACTATCAAAAAAGAAAGAGTGAGAAGAAAAAGATTCATCATGTTCGCAACAGCAACCGCAATTCCAAAAACGGGTAAAACAAGCTCAATGCACTGAAAAACGACCCCTGCACTAGGTTGCGCTTACTCTCATGAGTAGGATCTATCAATTAGGAAAGCTACAGTTCCCCTGCTCAAGTAATGAAGCCCTCTTATGCTCCAAGAGAACATTTTGCAAAAACCTAGTTTGTCAATCACGAGTAAGTTTGATAAGTTTGAGTTTTTGGAAATTGTTTAACCCTCATTGCCAAAATCGCTTTTGGAACAGTTTGAAAGGGAACATGTGACAATTCACAAAATCTCCAACAAAAAAGACGTGGAAATATGGGGTAACCAAAAACATTTAGTCTCGCGAAAATTTCATCACTTAATCATTCAGTCAGCTTCAGCGAACTTTACAGAGCGGAATGTGCCCAAATTTAGGAATAAATACAAAGGTTGTAAATATACGTATACGTATCACGTTCAATTTCACCAATTTGGTATGACATTCGTGGACAAAATCGAACTGATGGGCTAGGAACTAGCGTTCCGTTAAGCGAACTGTGATTGAAAGCTGTTAGTAGGTTGGAACATGAATATGCGGAACAGAATTCTATACTTGCAATCCGGCATATCATTGATGATTACAAAACACATCACACACATTTTCTACAAGAACCGACCAACACCTATTAATTTTTGCATGTTGTACCAAGAGAAAATGTCAGGGAAACAGAGACAAATGAGACCGTGAGGTCTCCAATTCTTTTAGTGGGACTGCTCCTCTTTCGCCTTTCATTTCACCTTTTTTATATTTAATTCTTATTCTTACATCCGATAAAAGAACGTCAAGCATGGAAGTGATGAACACAGAGAAAGAAAATGGACTACAACACAACCCTCTTCAAAGAGCCACTTATTCCAGGTTGAAAACGATCCCTACATTGCAAGCTTGCTCATGTTAATTCAGATTAGGGCAATCCTCTTAGGCGATAAGACAATATGGGAATGCCAGAAGACAATTATAGCATAATGGACATAGAAAATTGGAGGTATTGCTCACCTGTGCTTCGACTCGTCTATTTGTTTCTTGCACCCATTGCTGATCGGCCAGCCGAGGCCAATCGGTCATTTACTCTCAAAGTATAAATATTTTGGAACCTGGAAGCAGTTTGGGATTCATTCTGATGTTCCGATTATTGATAAAATTCTCGATCCTGATGGCACAGATGACAATCGCCCTACAGCAACTTTGACGACTTTCTCAGTCCTTATCAGAGAAGTAGTTTACTTGTGTGGAATAACCATATTTTAAGCCTACCGACCCCATGTTGAGCGTATGCGGTAACAACCTCTTGATTCCATCTGATCTTTTATCTATCTGTATAGATGTATCAATTGATTCAACGAATGCTTCATTGACACATTCATTAGAACGAATATTCATTCGTATAAATAGAAGAACCAGCATTTTTCAAAAAAAAAAAAGATATTATACTGAGGATACAACTGATTTGTACGAGAGTAATTATCAGAAGAACAACGTTTTACGAGCGTCATTGACAGCACAATTAAGAAAAACAACAACACAACGATTAACAATACGTACAAGGAATTGCAGACAGAGATTTCTCGGAGAAGCTAGTCTAACTCGTCCAAGGAGGACCTTCCAAAAGACGAATATGTCACCAAACTCCACTGCGTCTATCACGCGACCTCGGGCCACCTCCACCAAGACCACCGCCTCCATAACCTCGGAACGGGCCAGGTCCTGGTTCATATCCACGGCCATATCCACCGCCTCCACGCATACCACCGTAGCCGCCGTATCCCATATCTGAAACAGAAACGCTTCGTCAACGAAGGATGCATCACACTTTTGGACCATTAGCCGCAATAGGAAAAAGCCGCTCACCACCATATCCGAGATCTGAAAAAAAAGTTTAATAGCCAGGTAACCATCATACATATAAGAGCATATTGCTCCATACCTCTAGGGGGGACGAGAGCCAACGGCCTCGGAGCAGGTTGTCCACCAACAACACGCCATGTCAACCTTCTCATTGTGTGTGGCATGTCGTTTGAGCCAAACAATTCCACATACCTATGAAAAGCTGATTTTTGTAAAATACGATAACTTCTGGCGGAACATCCACCCTTCAAAAAACTTCAAACTATACCTCTTCCCCATCATCGCCTTGTTTCTTGAAAAGGCCTCATGTGCTTCAGCGGTTGTACCAAACTCCACCACAGCATCTCCGGAGGGACGACGATCCTCGTTAAATCCCAACTGCAAGAACAACTTTTAACTCACTTTCCTTGGAGCAGCCATTTATGTTGCACTATTAAGTATGACTAACGCTTATTTCAATGCAACGAAGAGGTGCGAAAAACTGCTCAATCATGAAAGCATCCGCGTCGAATGGAAGACCCCGCATGAAAACCTGAAATCAGGATGCATCGAAGCATCTAATTCACTGACACTCTCACGAGTGAGCCTGACCTTCGTTGGCGGCACGAAATCGTCGTAATCATCGTATCTTCCATATCCTCCACGTGGGATGTCATAAGGAGCCGAACGCATCCCTCTCATGCCACGCGGAGAGCGACTAAACATCGAAGTCTATACTTAGACGTCCCAAACGTATTTCTACAAATAGCTCAAATATTGATTCTTCCTGCTGTGCGCTGAATCAATTCGCAATCTCTAACCGATCTGCATTTCCCAATATGTGAAGCCGAAGCTCTGATGCTCTAGTATCTCTCACTGTTTTCTTTCTGGCAAAATACTTTTAAAGCAAGGAAGTAGTATTAACGTAAACATACGAAATATAGTCCCTCGAATCGAACAGTGGACGTATGTAGCCACCATCATAGTTGCGAGGGCGATTTCGCTCCATGTCGTCCACAGTGGTTCGGAACACTTCAACATACCTGGACAAAATNAGAGGTATGGAGGAATGAAGAGAGAACGTTAAATAGAGAGAAGTTATCCAAGAAAGACCTACAACATGATTTCTAATCAGAAATTAGAAAATGAGATTGGATGCTGAGAATGCTTGCAAAGAAAATACGAAAAAAAAACCTGGACATAATGTCAAAAGTGAGCCCACTCTCCCACCTGCTTCCCATATGTTGCTTGTTGAAATCGAGAGCTTTGACGGCTTCTTCCCTGGATGCAAGTCGCACGAAAGCTTCCCCGCTAGGTCGCCCTCCCGTACGCCCGAATACCACCTCTTCACAGGTTAGCCCTGACACACACCACCAATGTTTTTGTGAAAACAATCCCTCAAACCAGATGAGGCAATAACAAAATCGGGAAACAATCAAAAAGTAATAAACTAAAAACCTTCTATATCTGTAGACAAAACAAAAATATATATCAATACTGTAAGACTATCTCCTTTTATTACTGTGTTGAGGGACTCCGGGAATAGAGGCACCGTGACCCGACTCCCTTCCGCAACACTGTTTTTCTACTTGATACAAAAAAACAAAACAAATTTGTTAATAATCTTAAGAATAACTCACTAATTATGTAAAGCGAATAAATTGACGCACCTTTGAAGAAGTCCTTCACATCTTGTGTGGTAGCAGAAAATGGCAATCCGCGACAGCGAATCACTTTCCCATCATCAGAGACGATTCCTACGCGCTTCAAGTTGGTGAGCTCATCATTGGACACCGTGAAAACTGCAATCGAAAACTCGAATGAAAAGATTCTCAATTTATCACTGATGGTCGGGTAGTGGACAGCTACATTGAACCTACCTTCGATATATCTCCCTTCCATTTCCTTCCTGTGAAGATCCAAAGCCTTGAGTGCATCTTTGTTCGATGGGAGCTCACAGTAACACTCTCCACTAGGTCGACCGTTGTGGCTGCTGCTCATCGTGATCGTCGTGACCTCGATACCTACAAATACTTCGAAGATTAGAACCACGCCACAGCAGTTCCATGAGCATAAAAATAATTCCTTTCAAACCTTCAAAGAACTCGCGGATGTCACTCTCCTTAGCAGAATAGGGGAGGCCACGAAGTCGAACGTAATTCGTCTGCGGCAACTTTTTGCCATCTACGGAATCCTTTGATGACTCTTCCTGCGTGGTTTCATCTTTCTCCTGATCATTGTCATTTTTCTCTTGACCATTCTCCTCATTTTGCTCTTTCCCTTCTCCTTCATCTTGTTGTTGTTCGTCAAGCAATTCCTCCTTCACCTCGTCAGCGGTAGGGTTGCTCGTCTCGTCTTCCATGTTGACCATTGAAAAAGAGTAAATGTATAGCAAGCACTAAACCGTCACCCTGTAACAAGAAATGACGGTGTTTTAAAAGTTTAGAACGGCACAATTTGCAACATCACGAATGATCCGGTCTTCGTCACACTATAAAACTGACAGTTTGCATGCTTGGCAATCAAGTACAAACCAGAGCTATTAACCAGTGAGCTATACAACACTTGAAACATGATAAACAACAAATAAGGGTAGAAAACCAGAGAGATTATGCACCCACCGCCCCAACGAACGTGGCAAAGAAATGAACCGGACGCACAACTGACGCGCCGCGTCCTCCTATCGATTCACACAATGCCCTAACTACCGTACACCCTGGTGAGAAGCTGCTTTTGCGGACTTTAGAAACCACAGAACTAGCGAACCAAATTGCTCACCTTTAAATCGGCTGAACACTCAAGTTGAGCTACATGACAGCTAATTACAAAGCACTTAAGATTTACTTGAAAAAAAGTCAGGGCGTTCTTCTAACGAAAGAAAATTCAGGATGGATGTGGTACCGTGAAAGGCTGTGAATTTCTTCACCGAATCTTAATAGAAAGCAAATTCTCGTCACAGTTTCTCTTGGTTTATTGAATTGTTCGGGTTATCGTTCCAGGTCCATACCCTTACTTCCAGACAGCCGTTTCCTAATAGATTAGTGCTATAAATAGCTAATGTTACGAGAAACAAATGAGATGATTCCAAGATTGTGGATAGTTCTATATAAGAAGGAACTCGGGAGCTTTTCTCATACAGTCTTAAATCAAAGAGAATACCTCGAATCTAAGACGTACAGAATAAAACAAACAGTAATCTTGAAATTCAATGGGAGTATGCGTGAGAAGCAACCGAAGCTTCTAGAGACCTCACAATGCCGCCGATCAATAAGGCCATCTGCCCTTTGTCCACCCTCTCGGCCCACCCGCAGTGTTCTGGTACCGTCGATGTCTCCGCTCAAGTCATTGAACTTTCCTCTCACGCTGCTAGTCTCTGCCTTCCTCAATCCCTATGCTCTCTCGCTGCACCTTCAAGGACCACCCAGCATGAATAGAACTTTTGCGCCAACGTTGTCACTGGGCGTCGTGGCGGGCGCCTGTGAGCCAGCTTCTAGGCAGTAGATTGGTGTGGATGGAGTGAGGGGAGGAGTCCCGTGACGGTTGCGGAGTACGACGACCGGGCGTCCGCGCCAAGCGTTGCGTCGCCAGGGTTCTGCTGTCGGAGGATGGTGGAACCCGGGCGGTCAAGGAGGGGTGCAC